ACTAGGCAAATCAAAAACAGCAGCTAATGCTTCTAAAAAAACAACTGCTGAACCTGACAATCAGAGCAAACCATCTGAAGGTGGTTCTTCGGATACTTTTGAATTGGGTGCTGACCTTCCAGAGGTTTCTAGAAACAGTTTAGATAGTCGGCTTGAGAAATCTAAGAGATCAAATAAGCCTGAAAAGTCTCGGATGAGCACTGACCGTGTCGATAGAATTAGGAGAAAAAAGGGCTTAGTTTGGTAAATACTTATACGAAGAACATCTTCAATAAGTTATGTGCATCTATCCACTTGAGAAGGTAATTTAGTTTTGCTCCTGCATTTGTAATTTGCACGAATCCAGCATAAAATGTTAGATTTGAGTGTGATTCTTCTCATAAATGTTCGAATTTTTCTGTATGTACGAGTCAAATTAAGGGAAATATTGCATTCTAAATTTTCTGTAAAAACAACAGCTTCATTTGATAAAAAAGTGTAGTAATTTTCAGATTTCAAACCTTCCAAATTGTTGTAGTTGAATCTCTAAATGTCGTATGCTGTTATTAGTTAGTGAGTATAGGCAATTCAGCATCTATTAAAGTTTGTCATCTTATGTTGAAGGGTTCTTCTTGTTGTTTAGGCCATTGGTTGCCAGAGTATTATAAATTGTTTTACAAGTTACTGAAATTTCTCCTTTCCATTCTATAAATTGTTTTAGCCCATCATAAACTTGACTTTAAGGCTTACTGTTATTCCTTATTTGTCATAATATTCAATCCTCACGAGTCACGACTCATTGAAAAGGATTGATGATAATGAATGGTTTACAATTCGAGTACTCTAAAGAGAAATGAACGATTAATAATGAAGTCTTCAACGACCCTTTCTTTAAGTCTTCGAAGGAAATCCAACGAAACTTCACTCTCTTCGCAAATCTAATTAAACTTATCATATAGTCAAGGGCCTTTAACGTAGACAACCACTAACATCACTTAGTTTAAAAGAAATTTGTATAAATATTGTGGGAAGCCGGGTTATGAGTTGGACTGCCAAGGCGTGGTTGCAGAGATTACAATCATGGAGAGAACCTACAAAGTGCTTGACGTCAATAACGCTTCCCGGAGTCTCACAGTTGTTATACAAGATTATTGGAATGACATTTGTCCCTCAAATGCTTCTTTAATTATACTTTCGATACAAAAAATATAATGATGTATTAAGTATTATCACTGCCCTCCTCTTGTTAAAGACATTTCGGCCGCGCTGCTTCCTTTAATTGCAGCTTGAAAGAGACAGGCACCAATAATTATTATCTCGTAAGGGGCAACGATAGTGTCAATAGTAAAAAAAAATCTTATCTGCCATTAGCAATTACTTCGAAAGTTGTGGTACCAACGTTACTATTCCGGTGAGACAGTCAGCATTTATGTTCTTGTTATTGTCCTCATAAGCCTTATTCCTTGACTTTTGACTAATTGGTTTTAAATTTTTAATTGATTATGACACTGGACTCTTCTAGCCACTGTCAAGAAATGGGCAAGGAAATACCCAAATAGAGCTTTTGGCGCAGGCAGTACGTTATGCTGTGTATATGGGTCTTTGTGTGTTTGGTTTGACAGTGGATAGTCCTTATTCTCTGCATATCAGCCCGTTACAGTAAAAGCTTAGAAATTGTTGTCTAGTGGGGGCAAGCTCAAACAATACGTATTAACAAGACTTGAGTCTCCTTATGCTTTTAGGAGTAAGTTTAGGTTCATATGACTTTAATTTGTGCTATGCTTTTTCTTTCAACATGAATTATTTAGTCCGTGTTACACATATTAAGTTGTTTTTTCCCTCTAAAATAACGGGTAAAGGACTAAAGGAGGAAACTTCAACCCACTTGTGAAACACGCAATAGCCAAGACCATACACGTTCTCATTACTTTTTTCATGAACAATTTTTTCCACCTCTACTCTACTGTATTTCACCTTGCACACATTGTACCATTAAACATGTTTTGTATACTGTCATCAATATTTTTTTGGCCTCTGATCCTCTGTTAAAACGAAACTGGACTTGATGTATACAAGTCCAATATTGTTGTATCAAAATATTATACAAGGTGGGTGGGTTTGGATATAGAATTTAGTGAGATACAATTTATTATACAATCTGTCTTGGGTTGTTGTTGATAAGTTGGTTATATTTATATTTTGAAGGAGACTCATATCGAAGTTGGACTCGTCTCTCCAAATCAAACGCAAACATGGTTGGAAAAAATGCAATTACGTGAAGATAAAGTCATCAAGTCAACTATACACCCAAAATTTCAAAGTCTTTCTATTGCTTTTCCTTTTATCTTCCAAAGATGTGATGTACTCTTAGTTTCTTCTATATATTCTTTGCATCAATGGATTCAGTTCCCTAATGATTCATTCTCCCTAGGCCTTACTCCTACCAGAAATGACGAGTTTCCAACTTTTCTCCTCTTCGCCTTTTCTTTGTGCTCTAGGCTTTCTAATACGAGTTCTTGTCAATATTCAGTTATATTTTCTTGTTGTTTAGGCCATTGGTTGCCAAAGTATTATAAATAGTTTTACAAGTTACTGAAATTTCTCCTTTCCCTTTAAAAATTGTTTTATTATATCAGAAACTTGACTTTAAGGCTTACTGAGTTACTGTTATTCCTTATTTGTCATAATATTCAATACTTACGACACATTGAAAAGGATTGATAATAATGAATGGTTTACAATTCCAGTACTCTGAAGAGAAATTAACAATTAATAATAAAGTCTTCAACGACCCTTTCTTTAAGTCTTAGAAGAAAATCCAACGAAGCTTCACTCTCTTCGCAAATTTCAATAATCTAATTAAACTTATCAAATAGTCAAGAAATTTGTAACATCACTTATTTTAAAAGAAATTTGTATAAATATTGTATTTGTATACTACATTTCTCGGAATATAAGTTACTTTGAATAACCTTGCAAATTATATGAGTATGTAATGGAGCGTTTCAGCATTAATAACTTTGAAAGGCATGTTTCTAGAAATGTAACCACCGCTGGATTTGTATCAAATTGGTTCATATAAATGTGTATAGACTTAGATTGGCATTTAAGCGTAATTTGAAAACACTTCACTCGACTTTATCAAAGTTAAATTAAAACTTAATTGGTCATGATTCAGGATGTAAATGTATACTGAAACCAAAGGAATTCAGCTTCATTATCCCAGAGTACATCCGAGTCCTGCCACGTATCTCTTTCTATCTCTCCAAAATGGGTTTTCATCTCTCTTCAAGCTTCTGCTTATTTCTCCATCATCATAACCTTCATTTTAGCACATGTCATAACACCTGTATCAGCCAGTGATGAGAAATATGTAAACGTCACTGTGCAAACTTGGAGAATATTGAATATCCTTTCTGGGGAACGAGTAGGTCAGAGTATTGTGGGCACCCGGGTTATGAGTTGGAGCAGTCTCGCAGAGATTACAATCATGGAGAGAACCTCCAAGGTGCTTGACGTCAATAACGCTTCCCGGAGTCTCACAGTTGTTATAGAAGATTAGTGGAATGACATTTGTCCCTCAAACGCTTCTTTAATTATACTTCTGATACAGAAAATATAACGATGTATTATCACTGCCCTCCTCTTGTGAAAGACATTTCGGCCGCGCTGCTTCCCTTTAAGTTTAATTGCAGCTCGGAAGAGACAGACACCAATATTATTTCATAAGTGGCAACGATAGTGTCAATAGTAAAATCTTATCTGCCATTAGCTATTACTTCGAAAGTTGTGGTACCAACGTTACTATTCCGCTGAGACAGTCAGCATTTATGTACTTGGAGAGATATCCAGCTTCGGCAAATGTGAGTGAAGCTCTTCAAGAGGGTTTTGATTTGCAATGGTACGCAAATAATACCTAATTATGTGACAAATGCAAAGGCTCAGGTGGACTCTGTGGATATGACACTGATACTGATGAATTTCACTTGTTATTGTCCTGATAAGCCTTATTCCTTGACTTTGACTAATTGGTTTTAATTGATAATGACACTGGACTCTTCTAACCACTGTCAAGAAATTGCCAAGGAAATCACCAAATAGGATTTTTGGCGCAGGCAGCACGTTATGCTGTGCATGAAACCAAGACAAATATAATATTCAACCTTGTAAGGGTCCAGTTGAATATATTTTTTAGAAATTTGACTGAATTCTAGCAACAAATATTAGGCTCTTTGTGTGTTTGGTTTGACAGTGGATAGTCTTTATTCTCTGCATATCAGCCTGTTGCAGTAAAAGCTTGGAAATTGTTGTCTAGTGGGTAGCAACCTCAAACAATACATATTAACAGGACTTGAGTCTCCTCATGCTTTTAGGAGTAAGTCTAGGTTCATATGACTTTAATTTGTGCTTTGCTTTTTCTTTCAACATGACTTAATTAGTCCGTGTTACACATATTAAGTTGTTTTTCTCTAAAATAACGAGTAAAGGACTAAAGGAGGAAACTTCAACCCACTTGTGAAACAGGTAATAGCCAAGACTATACACGTTCTCATTACTTTTTTCATGAAAAATTTATTGTACCATTAAACATGTTTTGTATACTGCCATCAATATTGTTTTTGGCTTCTGATGCTCTGTTAAAACGAAACTGGACTTGATGTATACAAGTCCAGCATTGTTGTATATTATACAATGTGGGCGGGTTTGGACATAGAATTCAGTGAGATACAATCTGTATTGGGTCGTTATTGATAAGTTGGTTATATTTATTTTCGAAGGAGACTCATATCGTAGTTGGACTAGTCTCTACAAATCAAAAGCAAACATGGTTGGAAAAACGGAAGTACGTGAAGATGAAGTCATCAAGTCAACTATACACCCAAAATTTCAAAGTCTTTCTATTGCTTTCCTTTTATCTTCCAAAGATGTGATGTAACTCTTAGTTTCTTCTATATTTTCTTGGTATCAATGGATTCAGTTCCCTCATGATTCATTCTCCCTAGGCCTTACTCCTACCAGAAATGACGAGTTTCCAACTTTTCTCCTCTTCGCCTTTTCTTTGTGCTCTAGGCTTTCTAATACTAGTTCTTGTCAATATTCAGTTATCTTTAAGTAATCCTGATTGGTTTGAACATTGTAGACATCATTTCATGTGCGGGAAATTCATAGCTGGTTATCCTTTCTGGGGAGGCGATCGCCCAGGGTTTTGTGGCCACAAGGATCTGGAGCTTTATTGTAAGGATGATACGACATTCATGAGGATCAATCATGTAGAATATCGTGTTTTGAATATCGATGAGTCAGCGCAAGTTCTAAAGATTGCGAGACAGGACTACTTGAGCGGCTTCTGTCCACCTGATGAAAAATTGGTTGACACCACCATTGACTGGACACTTTTTGAATACTCTCCCGGGTATGAGAATTTCACATTACGTTATGGTGTCCCTTTTGATCCGATAGCTTGCTCCATAGAGAAGATGGAGAAGCACTTCAACTATACGGATGGTTTAATATCAAAAGTAGAATTTGGTCCTATGATTAGGTTCACTGTCAATGTCACGGTTCTTAAAACTTTCCTTCAAGAAGCAAAACGAAGTCTATCAGGTTTGGAAGAAGCCCTGAAACAAGGATTTGAAGTGAAGTGGAAGGTGAATGGCACAGAATTCTGTGATAAGTGCATTCAATCCAATCGAACTTGTGGTTATGATAATATCAAGAATCATACAACTTGCTATTGCCCACATCAACCTTTCCTCCCCTTTCAAGAAGCATGTCCAACCTCGCCTATAGGACAACCCCCACAAGGTCCTCCAGATACATCAGGTAAGTACCTCAATGTTTAGGGCAGTACTAATTACTATACCAAAATGAGTTCTAATTAATTTACACAAATTAAAGGAACATTATTATTATTATCATTATTTTAGAGTCAAACTTCTAATCATATGCAGCTCAAACCACAGACCCTAAACTTTGGTTCTAATAAGGGTCATGGTCATGCATCAACTTTCACACACAATCAAAAGAGCACCCATTTTAATAGTATTCCTATCATAGCAGACACTCATGCCTTAGACTCAGCAAATAAGATTCCCTGATATCAGAATTAAGCATTATAGATGGTAAAGCGAAGCATTTTTGTTGTTTAGTCAATAAAAAGCTCTTTAACAACCACTAACCTCTAACTATAAACTTCATGTTCAACCGAGGCTAATCAGACGCCTGAAGTAAAACTACCCGTTTACGCAGTGCACATTTCAGAAATCTAAAACCACCTTGTCCTTAAGCAAAAATTAGAATAAGTTAGACCATCTCTTTCAATGTCACTATCCTTAATTTGGCAATCATATTAAAAGCACTACCAGTAAGGTGTGTGTCATCATAGAGAGTAGTTAGAAGTTTGACAAAGTCTATTTGATTACAAAATCAGATAAGCTCATAAGTTTGCCTTCAATTCATATAGTAGGATTACTTGTTCAATAACAGATATAAACTCATAATTATGATTGAATTTGATAATGTTGGCCGTCTTAGCCAAGTCACCCCAGTTGAATTGGATTGAATTTTGTTAAAACTCTGCCTCATTGATTTAGGTAAATTATTTACCACTATGACTAAGTAGTAGAACTTTTCCTGGTGGGGTAACTATTTTTGCATTCATGTAGACTAGATATTATCATATTAATTGATTTATTCAAGTAGGCTGCACTACTTTAATATCATAATTGGTAAGTAAGACATCTTATAGTAGAGAAGACTATTTTAATTGGTCCTTTTGTCTATGTATTATTAATAAGATATACTGACAATTATAAAATATTTGATAATATATGTCTATACGCATTAAGTTAGGTAAACATTAAAAAAAGAATGTAGAGAAATTTTTTAATATACAGTTTAACTATTTTAATACATTTTATTGACCAAATGCTGGAGACAGAGAAGGTTGGAATCGTTCTTATTAGTGAATCATTTTCTGCGTATTTTCAATAGCATACCTAATAGACTACATGCCATCCATTAAATGGTAGAGACCAACCCCATTTGACAAATATGTTAACCCTTCTTGTATGTTTGATGTGTTGAACTTGTTGGTGAATATCTTGATAACTTATTACTATGTTTCTCTGTTCCGATCGTCCCATTGTCATTTCTCATAGCTTTTACATCATTGTTTTTTCTCTTGCTAGCATCGTGAATCGTATGATTTTCAGAGTTTTGAGAAAGACAATTGGAAACTGTATAGGTGTTGATGTGAAATTCTCTGCCAAATTAATAAAATTTTCATTAGCATGTAGACTTTTCATGATTAATTATAATCTAAGCCTATTTAATATTAGCTAACACCCTGGACTAATTCCAAATCAAGCTTCATACTTTTTAAGAGTTGTTGCAATGTCTTCTCATAATGAGACGAGCAATGGAATTTCCTTCACTTTCATCACAGCTTTTATAGTTGTCTATCCATACTCTTATTTGGATCATCTACCTACTTTTTCCTCCTTCAATTTCTCTCAAATGATGCACCCTCATTATTTCTCCATCATCTTCTTCCTCACTTTCATCTTCAATACTCAAACATCTTTATGCGCCGATGATATTCGATACATAAACTGCAGTCTTCCTGTGTACTGTGGAGACCAAAGCATAGAAATCAACTACCCTTTCTGGGGCGTAAACCGTCCAGATTACTGTGGTCAACCGGGGTTCCAGATAGAGTGCCAAGATGGTGTTCCCAAGATCAACATGATGTCGAATACGTTTCGAATTCTTCACATTAATTCAACCACACAGACTCTTAAGGTCGCTAGAGATGATTTCTGGTCTACTATTTGTCCAGCTTATCTCTTCAACACCACCCTTGATTTCACCCGCTTCAATTATGCCCCGGGACAAAGGAACCTGACCCTATACTACGGTTGTGCTTTTCGCGCTGATCCAGGCAGAGGGTCGTATATTGTCTATCCTGATTGCGTTGTAAATGATACCAGCATGGATGTTTTCTATGCGCCCCAGAGTGCCCCAGTTGACCCGTTAATAGTAAGATGCAATAGCAGTGTCATTGTTCCAGTTCTTGAAACAGCTGCTCAGGAACTTGACCAACGTAGAAATACCATCAACGTTACATTAGATGAAGGTTTTGAATTGCAATGGAATTTAGGGAGCAACCAATGCAACACATGTGTCAACTCCGGCGGGTTTTGCGGATATAACTCAACGGAGAGTCTATTCGTTTGCTTTTGCCGTGATCAGCCCAATGCAATTGAATGTTCATCTAGTCCAGGACCTCCAGCAGGTTTGTCTCCTTTATTACGCTATTATAACTTGACGTGCTTCCTCGAATTGATTCATCCTGAAACTCAGGCCTTATATTATCTTTGGCACTTCTAAATGTTTATTTTTTCCTCTGGTTTTTGCCAATTGATATTCATTTGTTGTTGCCCTGTTTGTTATAAATAAGTTTCTTTAAATACCTAACGGTTGAAACTTGTTCGCGGATGTCCTGTTTGATTTTGTGGTCCATTTACGGGTTCTGTTATCGAATTTGAGAATCTTTAAGTTTTCACACCTGATTTCAAATTCTAGAACTAGATATAGGAGGTTTCGTTCAGCTTACGCCTGGAAATTCACATAGGGAACCATCAGTTTATATGAGACTATAAATTGTCAATATTTCAAATATTTAATTTTCTAGGCTACCTAAACTGGGGTGGACCAGCACACCAACTTTCTGCAGAAGCTTCCCATCAGTAAAAATGAAGACCTTACTCGGTCAAGTCCAACAATTAATTTTCTATGACGGAAAGATGTGAAATGCGAACCAATTTAGCTCTATTATAATTTAAATCAATATTTACTTCCACATCTCTCTTGTCTGTCTCTCAAAATGGCTCTTCATCTCTCTCCAAGCTTCTTTTTATTCTCCATCACCATAACGTTCATCTTAGTCCATGTTCCAACATCTGTGTCAGCCATTCATGCGAAATATGAAAACTGTAGCTCCCCTTTTCGCTGTGCAAACTTGGAGAATATTGAATATCCTTTCTGGGGAGCGAGTATGCCACAGTACTGTGGGCACCCGAGTTATCATTTGGACTGCGAAGGCGAGGTTGCAGAGATTAGTATCATGAAGAGAAGCTACAGAGTGCTTCATATCAATAGCTCTTCCGGCACTCTCACAGTAGCTGTAGATGATTACTGGAATGATATTTGTCCCTCAAACCTTGTCAACGGCACTATAAATTCCAGCTTCTTTAATTATACTTCCGATACAGGAAATATAACGCTGTATTATGACTGCCCTCCTCTTGTCAAAGACATTTCGGCCGCGCTGCTTCCCTTTAAGTTTAATTGTAGCCTGTAAGAGACAGACACCAATAATTACTATTTCATATGGGGCAACGACAGTGTCAATAGAAACATCTTATCTTCCATTACCAATTACTTTGAAAGTTGTGGTACCCACGTTACTATTCCGGTGAGACAGTCTGCATTTCTTTTCTTGGAGACAAATCCAGCTTCGGCAAAAGTGAGTACCGCTCTTAAAGAGGGTTTTGATTTGCAATGGTACGCAAATAATACCTTATGCGACCAATGTAAAGACTCAGGTGGACTGTGTGGATTTGACACTGATACTGATAAATTCACTTGTTATTGTCCTGATAAGCCTTATTCCTGGACTTGTCCCTCAAAAGGTACATCCCATCTCTTTATTCATTACTTGTCATCCTGAGTTTCTTAATTTTGTTGAGTTAGGGGTATTTGCTTTTAGACAGACCCAGGTTCAGATGAGCAGAAACTTGAAACTTGATGCTATGTTGTTTCGTTTTTAGATAATTTATTATAGAAGGGAGTAACCTACTAGAAACACTAATCAAAGTTTTATCGACTTTAGGTTGTAAATATATCTCCCTTTTGTTCAAAGTGTTGACCTTTTCCACCAAATCCAGAAAAAATAACTAGAAGACAGGATGTTTTGTTTTCCATTTCCGGGTTCTTTGCCCTCTAAAACTCTTAAAAACCAATCCTCAAAGTTCTCCTTTTCTCACTGGAAGTGTTATCCAGCAATCATCTGCCTGTTGTTTTAGGCCCCTGAATTCATAGCAGCTCTTTCCGTCGACGTTCTCATTATAGATAACTCCAAGTAGACTGATGTGATTTGTGCTTTTTATTTTTTAACACCAAAACTACAAACTATGCTTCTATATGAGGCGGCTACTTTCAAATTACTCTGCAACTAAACATATTTTAGTACTCCAGATCAAACATGTATTATGTGCTCATATCAATGGTGACCTTCATTGACCAAGAGGAAATCAAGTTAAGGGAAACTGTCAAACAAATACTGCTAACACTATAATGTAAATGTATTGGCACTCAAGTACAAAGGTATATAATAAATATCTTAGCTGTTAGCCATTAGGTATTGGTTTGTTATTGTTGGCAGCCTATTGTGATATAGTTACTATAGTTTGATTGACGTGGAGATTAGGGCCCAGTGAGAACAAAAGTTCTGATATCTTATTAAAGAATTTGTCAATAGTCAACGGCAATTTCTTGTCCTATTTGTCTATAAAATCTTTGTTCTTGTCCTGTTCAAATTTTAGTGGCACCATTGTCATCTAACAAAAGCAAGCTTCTCATATGAGCTGAGCTTTAGACCAATTTCTGTTTCATGTTCGTTCATTTTAGTTCGTGGAATAAAGCTGATATCTAATGATGAACTCACAAAAATTTGAAACTGTAATACACTAATACAGTCATCAGTTTCGGCAGAAAATTTAATAACAACCATTTCAATTCTCAAGAAATACATAGAATAGATTGAAGGTACCAGGGCTCCAATAGGTTCGGTTTCTGAGCTGAAAAACCTTTCCCTTGTACAAAAGGTCTGCAAACACTTATTTACAAACTATGGAATATGAATATTTTCATGACTCCCGGATTCAGTATTAATTGAAAAGGCTAACTTAGTTTTCTTGATGATTTGTGGCCTGTAATGGAGACTGTCTTGATTGCTACTCTGTTCATAAAACGCTGTCTCGACTTTTTGGTTTATCAGTGGCCTCTAATTAATAAATTTGAATACATTCTTTTGGCACATTACTACTGTGAGACATGCTTTCATTTAGATTTCTACAAATCTTACAATGAAATTCACCTGCACCTTCTTTCCCGTTTTGGTAGTCAAAATATGTGAACTAAGTATAGATAGATCAATTCTCAACAAATGAGTATATGATCATTTGCAATGAAGATATTTTATATTGAAACAAGATGGTCTTGACTTAATGTATCCAATTACAACTTCACTCGTTTTCTGTTCAAGATCGCTGATATTTCTGGATCTCTTGGCAGATGGAAGGAAAAAGAAATCTTTAGTCATTGGCGTAGCAATTGCATCATGTGTGGTGGGACTGGGAGTAGTAATTATCCTCTGCATTCTTCTCATCGGTGGTAGAGGACGATTTTTGAAGAAGAAAACAGAGAATGATAAAACCGTACAGGCCTTTGTTAGAAATTACGGTTCTCTCGCTCCACATAGATATAGTTATTATGATGTTAAAAAGATGACAACATCATTCAGGGATAAACTTGGTCAAGGAGGCTTCGGTGATGTCTACAAAGGAATGTTATCAGATGGTCGTCTTGTTGCAGTGAAGGTATTGAAGGAATCCAAAGGTAATGGAGAGGAATTTATCAATGAGGTAGATAGCATCAGTAGAACATCTCATGTTAATATAGTTGCTTTTTTAGGTTTTTGTTATGAGAAGAAGAAAAGAGCTCTTATATATGAATTTATGTCTAATGGATCTCTAGAAAAATTCATATATGATAATGAACCTTCAAGTGTTACCCGCAAGTTGGAATGGGAAACAGTGTCTCATATTGTAGTTGGAATCGCCAGAGGATTAGAGTATTTACACCGACGGTGTAATATAAGGATTGTGCATTTTGATATAAAACCACACAATATTCTTTTAGATGAAGACTTTTGTCCAAAGATATCTGATTTCGGACTTGCTAAACAATCCAACACAAAAGAGAGTATCATATCAATGTCAGGTGCCAGAGGAACTGCAGGGTATATTGCACCAGAAGTATTTTGTCGAAATTTCGGAGGAGTCTCTCACAAGTCTGATGTCTATAGTTATGGAATGATGGTTCTTGAAATGATTGGAGGGAGAAAGAACATTGATGTTAGAGTGTCTCATATGAGTCAAATATATTTTCCACATTGGATACACAAGTGTGTTGAATCAGGAAATGATCTCCAACTTCATGGGGTTTCCACTAAAGAAGAAAGAGAGATTGTGAAAAAGATGATATTAGTGGGCTTGTGGTGCATTCAAACCAATCCATCTGATAGACCATCGATGACCAAAGTAGTAGAAATGTTGGAAGGTAGCCTAGAAAACTTGGAGGTTCCACCAAAACCTTATTTGTCTTCTCCAACAAGATCACCTCAACATTCTTCTCCTACATCATCAACATGNAATGCTTTTTCAGGTGAAGACTGGAAAAAGCAGCTTAGAACAAATATCTAGAGTTTACGGGAACCAGGTAATATCTAGAGTTTGGGTAAAACTGGGTGGTTAGTTGCAATTAGCACTTAAGAGAGTGGTGATTATTGTTAGAAAGGATGGGGATTTGATACTGTATTAGTTGATTGAATGCTTTTTTTGCAGGCAGTGGTTGTTAGTATTGATCCTCGTAGAGTATACCTTAATAGTCCTGATGATGTGGAGTTCAAGGCTATAAGAGTGACAAATCCAGGTGAAGAAGCAGTTATCTTTTTCTCTTATTCCTTCCTTTTTTTCATTTTTAGGTTGGATTAGCCAATAAGATGCATTATTATAGTGTCCATAAAACCCGTATTTGCCAATTTTTTTAAATTTGATCAATTCATTGTTTATGTTGAAATCAAATCAAATAATGTAAACAGTCATTGTACTATTACTGGTCTGGTTTTCAAAGTCTACCAAGAACAGTAGTTAGGTTGGGTGTGTTCCAGACCAGAGATTATCAGCCAGTGCTATGAGGAGTCCTAGATTCACCATGGATATTTTCCGGCTACTTGTCTGTGAACTTGATTATCCTTCATATCTTTTCTTGAAATGTTCATCAATCAAAAATCTTTTCCATTTGTTCAAATTGTTTTTCAAATAGCCATTGGGCAATTATAAGTATCTCTAGTTGCATGTCAGAGTTATATGACAGTTTGAAGAAAAAAATAACTTATTCTTCCTGCCTCGGTAGGTAGTGAGACTGCCTGATTAGGTTTTTGGATAGAAGCCACATCAAACAAGTTAATTATACAAGTCATGTGATATTTCATGAACTTCTTCCAGATTTTACCTCTATTGTTGGTAACCATTTTTCTAATGGTGGTGTCAGGTCCAAATGGAGAAGAATATGCTTGGTATCAGTGTACAGTAAGCCTGCTTTGCTTTCTTCATTTTTGCAGTTTTATTGTTCATGTGTGATTTAGAGATGACCAAGTTATAAATGTGACATGAGTAAGATAGGCTGGATGAAATATCTTAATCACCAGCTCCTTAGTTTGATTAGAATTTGTGAGCCTATAGTTTGAATTCCACAGGGCTTTATTGTTGAGCATTTTAAATGACTTCCTATGATATTTTTTAGGTTAGTGGTGGACGAGAGGGTCGACCAATTGGAGCTTATGAGCTTGCAAAAGCAGTTGAAGAGCTGGGAGCTGGAGAGATACTATTGAATTGCATTGATTGTGATGGTATAAAGAATTCTTTGCTTAACAAGTTACAATTATATGCTTTCTTCTTTAGCTTCAAATTGTAATTTGAAGCATGTGTGGATATTTTATATTAAAAATTTATGAATACGTTTAAAGAGTGCTTGATTCTAATATTATAAGGGCATTCAAATCATCAAATTTTATTTTAATTTTGTTTCTGTGGACGTAATGCAATCATGTTGCTTTTTTAGGTCAAGGCAAAGGATTCGATGTGGATTTAATAAAGTTGATCTCAGATGCCGTGAGCATCCCCGTCATCGCTAGTAGCGGTGCTGGTGCTGTTGAACACTTCTCTGAAGTGTTTAGGAAAACAAATGCATCAGCTGCCCTTGCTGCCGGCATTTTCCATCGGAAAGAGGTAATACAACACCACTTTACATTACTCTAGTCCTTGTATCCAGTTTTTGTTATATAGAATGAACTATTTCTGTGAGAATCTTTCGACATCTTTTTGATTAGTATGCTCTCTAAAACCCTTCATTATTCTGTGAGTTGCAGGTACCCATTCAGTCTGTAAAAGAACACTTGTTTAACGAAGGCATAGAGGTCAGGATCTAATTTAATCAAACCTGTGAAAGCAAAGACAGAAATTTATCTGACTGAAGTTCGAAGAGCACAGAAGTGCATCGTTTTCACCAGGTGCATGCTGCATGTAATAGTAGTCGTAATTTTTTGTAGCTCCGAAATCTAGGTTCAAATAAAGTCACTTCATTTGAATTATTCACTATATAAATTATAGGAATCATCTGATGCTAAGAACTTCCCTAGAATTTTTTTTTTTTTTTCTGTTACTATGTATTCAACAGTTTTATTCGAAAAATTGATAGACAATTTAAAAATAAAAATAAAAATAAACAACAAAAAGATAATGAGGCATTTTTGCTTGAATGAACATATGTTATATAACCACCGCTGAGTGGCTGAATGGTCAACAAGGACTCTTGAGTGTATTACTCAAGAAGGTCTTGAGTTTGATTCACTTTGACCTCTAATACGGGTAGCTATTAGAGCTCTTACCCTGTCGGTAGTTTTAAGGTCTCAAGGGATTAGTTGAGGGGTATGCAAGTTAGCCTGGACAACCCTGTTCGGAAAAAAAAAAAGAAAAAACATATGTTATATTCAAAATTATGGCGATTGTGTGGCTGAAAAAATGAGTTGATTTCAGTTGATATTGGCGTTTTGTTGTTGGTTTGTTTCTCTGGTATCTGTCCCAATTCAAGTTAGGTGGCTTGTTTGACCAATTTGCTTCCAAGTTAATATTTTCAGAGACTAATTTTTTATAGAAGTTGTTAGTACTAGTTTTTATATTTGAAACTAATAGAAATTATTTCACTATTTTCTATTACTGTGAGACTACTGGTTTGAATACATGATTTACAAATTACTTTTTCTACACAAATTGCAAGTATTCTATTTCTTAGAACCCAAAAACTGGAGTATTAGAAATCAAAAGAGCTTGCTTGCGAACTCTTCTCTGGCCTCCCTGTATGATGAAGGTAAATGTGATTCATCTGCAAGTTTTTTAAGCTCCGGTAAGCTTCTTCCAAGCTCAAGAGCTACTTTCACTTCAAACACTTCTCCATTTTCTCTCTTATCAACTTCCCTTTCCTTCAACGTTGATTCTATTGTCTCTTCCATGAGCTTAAAGAATCCGGCAGAGCCTCTATACATCTCGAAAATCATACCAACTTGTCCGGCATGCTCCAAAGTGTTCACAACTGTAGCCATGGCTCCAAAAACTACACCAATTACTGCTCCCAGTGAACCACACAAAGGTGATCCCACAAAAGCTGAAGCTATTGCAGCAAAACCAGTGAATAAAGGGCCACAAATTGCCAGAGTTTTGTTAACTTTTAGTACTATTTTGCTTAGTCTTACATATTCTGCTGAATCTTTCATATTTAGAATCCGAACAATCTCCTTCATTTCCTCTTCAAGATTCCCATTCCACCCATTTTTGTCATCCTTTTTAACAATCCTTTCTCCTTGAGCCTTCACTTGTGGCCACCACACAGCAGGCTCTACATGTTCTGGAAACTTATTAAGCATATTTCCCAGCAAGGGAAGTGGATATGCTTCATCAAGAGCCAAAACTCTCTCCATTGCATCCTTCACATGAACCGAAGTCGGGTTCCGAAGAGCAATGGTTGTTTTGATCTCTTCATGAAGCTGCTTAAACAGTCTTGTAGCATTCCTTTGTTCTTCAGCCAACTGAGATGGCTGAATCTTATTCATCACCAGCAAAATCCCAGTCGCTGCAGTGTAAAGTAAACCAGAAGAGAGCTTCAGAGCCACCAATGTTGCTCCAACTCCATTGCTGACCGCTGCAAGACCAGCCATGGTTGCAGCTGTAACCGTCATTCCATTAACAGAATTCAAAAGAAGACTGTTCCAATTATCGCGTTGCCTCCCGATGTTCTTGTGCATCTCAGCTCTATCTGCAACAATTTCCATTATTGCANAAGTTCTTTCACAAACCTCCTTCTTTGGACCATTTGAGGGTCTTTGGTTGTTTGACCTATGCCACATTTGTCCCCTCCAAGGACAAGTTATCTCCTAGGGCAGTGATCCACCAGTTTTCTTAGGATACTCCTTAACACAAAAAGGCTATGTTTTGTATGATTTGTCCTCTCATTCAATCACTATTTCTAGGGATGCAATTTTTTATGAACACATTTTCCCTTTTGCATTATCCCAAACACCTACAGGTCTTTTTCCATATGATTCTGCATTACTTTTTACAGAATTAGATCAGTCCTCTACCTTTCCTGTTCCAGCTTCCCCTGACTCTTCATCACCTCATATTTCCTAATTCTACTTCACCTACTCTAGTTTCTCCTATTGCACCTTCTAGTCTGGATTCTTCTCATGTCTCTCCTTCTACTATTGCACCTACAAATTCTTCTCTTAACCTTAGAAGATCCAGCAGATTTGTTAGGCCTCCTATTTGGTCTCATGACTATGTTTGCTCCACTCTCTCTTATCCTACAACTAATCATATATCCTATCCTATATCTAATTATGTTTCTTATACAACCTTCTCACCTTTTTATCAGTCCTATCTTTCTAAGGTGTCTTTAATTGAACCTTCTAGTTTTTATCAAGCTTCAAAGGACCCAAATTGGGTTGAAGCTATGGATAAGGAAATCAAGGCCTTGAAACTTAATAACACTTGGTCCCTAATCCCTTTGTCTCTTGGTAAATCTCTTATTTGATGCAAATGGGTTTGTAAATTGAAGTACTAGGTTGATGGTACATTGGAAAGGTAAAAGGCTCGATTGGTGGCCAAGGGCTATACTCAGCAGGTAATTGAAATTGACTATGAAGAGACTTTTTCTCGAGTTGTTAAAATGGTTACTGTCAGGCTTATACTTGCTTGGCCTCTTTATCTCCATGCATAATTGGCCTCTTTATCAACTTGATATTGATAATGCCTTCTTGCAAGGAGATTTACTGGAAGAAATTTACATGAACAATCCAAGTCAGATTACTCATTCTTCATTAAGACACAACATTCTCATATTGTCATACTACTTGTTTATGTAGATGACATTGTGATTACTGGAAACAATGCTGAGTTAATTCAAGAAAAAAAAACAACTTCTGCATTCCAATTTGAAGCTAAAGGACTTGGGAACATTGAGGTATTTTTTGGGCCTGGAAGTAGCTAGATCAAATAAAGGCATTACTTTGTGTCAAAGGAAATATGCCTTAGAGCTTATTTCTAAATCAGGTTTGTCAGGATCCAAACCTTCTATAGTACCTATGGAATCTAATATGAAGCTTAGTTAACAGCTTATGATGATCATTTTGCTTCCAGTAGTGATTCCTTGATTTCTGATCCAGCAATTTACCAAAGATTGATTGGGAAGCTATTGTATTTGTGTATGACTAGACCAGACTTGAGTTACTCAATAAATTTGCTAAGTCAGTTTATGCATCAACCCAAAGAATCTCATATGGCAGCATCATTAAAGGTAGTTAGACCTGGCAAAACGGGTCTGGACCCGCGGGTTGGACCGTACCCGGGTAAATAATATAGGGTACGGGTCCAATTTATTATACCCATTTTTTTAGACCCATACCCGTACCCGGCCCTAAAAAAAAATGGTTTATACGGGTGAACCCGTGGGCACCCGCGGGCACCCGTATTTGCAGAAATCGTTTTTAATTTTTTGAATCCCTAATTTTTTTCACGCAGCACAGCAATCACGCTCACGCCTCTCACTCTCTCAGTCTCATAGTCNCGGGGTTCCAGATAGAGTGCCAAGAGGGTGTTCCCAAGATCAACATGATGTCGAATACGTTTAGAATTCTTCACATTAATTCAACCACACAGACTCTTAAGGTCGCTAGAGATGATTTCTGGTCTAGTATTTGTCCAGCTTATCTCTTCAACACCACCCTTGATTTCACCCGCTTCAGTTATGCCCCGGAACAAAGGAACCTGACCCTATACTACGGTTGTGCTTTGCGCTCTGATCCGGGTAGAGGGTCGTATATTGTCTATCCTGATTGTGTTGTAAATGATACCAGCATGGATGTTTTCTATGCGCCCCAGAGTGCCCCAGTTGACCCGTTAATAGTAAGATGCAATAGCAGTGTCATTGTTCCAGTTCTTGAAACAGCTGCTCAAGAACTTGACCAACATAGAAATACCATCAACGTTACATTAGATGAAGGTTTTGAATTGCAGTGGAATTTAGGGAGCGACCAATGCAACACATGTGTCAACTCCGGCGGGTTTTGCGGATATAACTCAACGGAGAGTCTATTCGTTTGCTTTTGCCGTGATCAGCCCAATGCAATTGAATGTTCATCTAGTCCAGGAACTCCAGCAGGTTTGTCTCCTTTATTACTCTATTATAACTTGACGTGCTTCCTCGAATTGATTCATCCTGAAAGTCAGACCTTATATTATCTTTGGCACTTCTAAATGTTTTTTTTTTTTTCCTCTGGTTTTTGCCAATTGATATTCATTTGTCGTTGCCCTGTTGGGGATAAATAAGTTTCTTTGAATACCTAACGGTTGAAGCCTGTTCGCGGATGTCCTTTTTGATTTTGATGTCCATTTACGGGTTCTAGTATCGAATTTGAGAATCTTTAAGTTTTCATACCTGATTTCAAATTCTAGATATAGGAGGTTTCGTTCAGCTTACGCCTGGAAATATACATAGGGAACCATCATTTTATAGAGACTATAAATTGTCAATATTTCAAATATTTAATTTTTTAGGCTACCTAAACTGGGGTGGACCAGCACACCAACTTTCTGCAGAAGCTTCCCATCTGGAAAAATGAAGACCTCACTTGGTCAAGTCCAACAATTAATTTTCTATGACGGAAAGATGTGAAATGCGAACCAGTTTAGCTCTATTATAATTTAAATCAATATTAACTTCCACATCTCTCTTGTCTGTCTCTCAAAATGGCTCTTCATCTCTCTCCAAGCTTCTTTTTATTCTCCATCACCATAACGTTCATCTTAGTCCATGTTCCAACATCCGTGTCAACCATTCATGCGAAATATGAATACTGTAGCTCCCCTTTTCGCTGTGCAAACTTGGAGAATATTGAATATCCTTTCTGGGGAGCGAGTAGGCCAGAGTACTGTGGGCACCCGAGTTATCATTTGGACTGCGAAGGCGAGGTTGCAGAGATTACTATCATGGAGAGAAGCTACAGAGTGCTTCATATCAATAGCTCTTCCGGCACTCTCACAGTAGCTGTAGAGGATTACTGGAATGATATTTGTCCCTCAAACCTTGTCAACGGCACTATAAATTCCAGCTTCTTTAATTATACTTCCGATACAGGAAATATAACGCTGTATTATGACTGCCCTCCTCTTGTGAAAGACATTTCGGCCGCGCTGCTTCCCTTTAAGTTTAATTGTAGCTTGGAAGAGACAGACACCAATAATTACTATTTCATATGGGGCAACGACAGTGTCAATAGAAACATCTTATCTTCCATTACCAATTACTTCGAAAGTTGTGGTACCAACGTTACTATTCCGGTGAGACAGTCTGCATTTCTTTTTCCCGGAGACAAATCCAGCTTCGGCAAAAGTGAGTACCGCTCTTAAAGAGGGTTTTGATTTGCAATGGTACGCAAATAATACCTTATGTGACCAATGTAAAGACTCAGGTGGACTGTGTGGATTTGACACTGATACTGATAAATTCACTTGTTATTGTCCTGATAAGCCTTATTCCTCGACTTGTCCCTCAAAAGGTACATTCCATCTCTTTATTCATTACTTGTCATCCTGAGTTTCCTTAATTTTGTTGAGTTAGGGGTATTTGCTTTTAGACAGACCCAGGTTCAGATGAGCAGAAACTTGAAACTTGATTCCGGGCATAGCATATTCCTCATATTGATGCTATGTTGTTTCGTTTTTAGATAATTTATTATAGAAGGGAGTAACCTACAAGAAATACTAATCAAAGTTTTATCCACTTTAGGTTGTAGAAAAATCTCCCTTTTGTTCAAAGTGTTAACCTTTTCCACCAAATCCAGAAAAAATAACTAGAAGACAGGATGTTTTGTTTCCCATTTACGTGTTCTTTGCCCTCTAAAACTCTTAAAAGCCAATCTTCAAAGTTCTCTTTTTCTCACTGAGAGTGTTATCCAGCAATCCTCTGCCTGTTGTTTTAGGCCCCTGAATTCATAGCAGCTCTTTCCGTGGACGTTCTCATTATAGATAACTCCAACTAGACTGATGTGGTTTGTGCTTTTTGTTTTTTAACACCAAAACTACAGACTATGCTTCCAATTCCAAATCAGGCGGATAATTTTAAATTACTCCGCAACTAAACATATTTTAGTACTCCAGGTCAAACATGTATTATGTGCTCATATCACTGGTGACCGTCATTGACCAAGAGGAAATTAAGTTAAGGGAAATTGTCAAACAAATACTGCTAACACTATAATGTAAAGGCATGGAACTCAAGTAAAAAGGTATATAATAAATATCTTAGCTGTTAGCCATTAGGTACTGGTTTGTTATTGCTGGCAGCCCATTGTGATATTATAATTATTTTTCCTTAGTAGTTACTATGGTTTCATTGACGTGGAGATTGGGGCCAAGTGAGAACAAAAGTTCTGATATCTTATTAAAGAATTTGTCAATAGTCAATGGCAATTTCTTGTCCTATTTGTCTATAAAATCTTTGTTCTTGTCCTGTTCAAATTTTAGTGGCACCATTGTTGGCTAACAAAAGCAAGCTTCTCATATGAGCTGAGCTCTAGACCAATTTCTGTTTCATGTTCGTTCATTTTAGTTCGTGGAATAAAGCTGATCTCTAACGATGAGCTCACAAAAATTTGAAACTGTAATACACTAATACAGTCATCAGTTTCGGCAGAAAATTTAATAACAGCCATTTCAATTCTTAAGAAATACATAGAATAGATTGCAGGTACCAGGGCTCCATAGTTTCAGTTTCTGAGCTGAAAAAGCTGTCCCTTGTACAAAAGCTCTGCAAACACTTACTTACAAACTATGGAATATGAATATTTCATGACTCCCGGATTCAGTAGTAATTGAAAAGGCTAACTTAGTTTTCTTGATGATTTATGGCCTGTAATGGAGACTGTCTTGATTGCTACTCTGTTCATAAAATGCTGTCTTGACTTTTTGGTTTGTCAATGGCCTCTAATTAATAATTTTGAATACATTCTTTTGGCACATTTCTACTGTGAGATATGCTTTCACCTGCACCTTCTTTCTCGTTTTGGTGGTCAAAATATGTGAACTAAGGATGCATAGATCAATTCTCAACAAATGAGAATATGATCATTTTCAATGAAGAATATATTATATTGAAACAAGATGGTCTTGATTCAATATTTCCAGTTACAACTTTACTTGTGTTCTTTTCAAGATCATTGACATTTTTGGATCTCTTCACAGATGAAAGGAAAAAGAAAACAACTTCTTCAAATCTAAAAGCAGGTGATATTTCATTGTGTTAGAATATCTATTTAACTTTTTCTTTTCTAGTAAACTTAATAATATAGATAAAGTCTGAGCAATTTCTTGTTCCATCTTTGGTCATTGGCGTAGCAGTTGCAACATGTGTGGTGGGACTGGGGATAGTAATGTTCCTCTCCATTCTTCTCATTGTTGGTAGAGGACGATTTTGGAAGAAGAAAACAGAGGATGATAAAACAGTTGAGGCCTTTATTAGAAATTACAGTTCTCTCGCTTCAAGTAGATATAGTTATTATGATGTTAAAAAGATGACAACATCATTTAGGGATAAACTTGGTCAAGGAGGCTTTGGTGATGTCTACAAAGGAATGTTATCAGATGGTCGTCTTGTTGCAGTGAAGGTATTGAAGGTATCCAAAGGTAATGGGGAGGAATTTATCAACGAGGTCGTTAGCATGAGTAGAACATCTCATGTTAATATAGTCGCTTTGTTAGGTTTTTGTTTTGAGAAGGAGAAAAGAGCTCTTATCTATGAATTTATGTCTAATGGATCTCTAGAAAAGTTCATATATGATAATGAACCTTCAAGTGTTACCCGCAAGTTGGAATGGGAAACAGTGTCTCATATTGTTGTTGGAATTGCCAGAGGATTAGAGTATTTACACCGACGGTGTAATATAAGGATTGTGCATTTTGATATAAAACCTCACAACATTCTCTTAGATGAAGACTTTTGTCCAAAGATATCTGATTTTGGACTTGCTAAACAATCCAATACAAAAGAGAGTATCATATCAATGTCGGTTGCCAGAGGAACTGCAGGATATATTGCACCGGAAGTATTTTGTCGAAATTTCGGAGAAGTCTCTCACAAATCTGATGTCTATAGTTACGGAATGATGGTTCTCGAAATGATTGGAGGGAGAAAAAACATTGATGTTGGAGTGTCTCATACTAGTCAAATATATTTTCCACATTGGATACACAAGTGTGTTGAATCTGGAAAGGATCTCGAACTTCATGGGGTTGTCACTGATGAAGAAAAAGAGATTGTGAAAAAGATGATATTAGTGGGCTTGTGGTGCATTCAAACCAATCCATCTAATAGACCAACGAAGACCAAAGTTGTAGAAATATTGGAAGGTAGCCTAGAAAACTTGGAGGTTCCACCAAAACCTTATTTGTCTTCTCCAACAAGATTACCTCAACATTCTTCTCCTACATCATCAACATGAGTAATGCATCACACAAAAAGACTCCTGTCTATTTGAGTAGTAACAAAGTGAAACATAAATCATGATATGGTATTATCCTTTACTTGATATACCATTTATTTTTATTTAATGAGTAATATAAATATTTTCACTCTTCCAAAAATTTTGTATCATATATTTTGTATATCTTTTTTTTTTTTTTTTTTTCCCTGATCATCGGTGGTGTTTAAGCTAGCTTACGCATACTTCAACTAATCCTCTAAGACTGTAGAACTACCGACTAAGTAAGAATTCTAGTAACCACCCCTATTAGTAACTGTGAGGACTCGAACTTGCAAGATCATGTTAGATTCTCCTATTGTTCTTTTATCTTCAAGAGAATTTGAATTTAGGAGACCATGTTAGATTCTCTTTTTTGAGATCATTTTGTTTATCTGTTACCAGTGATAACTTGGGTGCTTTTCTTTGAATATCTTTTACTAGTGATTACTTTCACAAAGATGTGACAACACGAATCAAGATACATAACATAAAATAGAAAAGACAAGATGAAAAAGCTGAGAGTTGGACAACACAAAGCCCAGATGGCTCCTGGTTAGTGAGAGTTATGGGCTACGTATTCTCAGAATCTAAAACAATATAAGGAAATTATGAAAGTTACTCCCCAAGCGGACAATATCTAATCATTTTGAAAATTTATGTACTTACTTAGTTGATGCATCATCTTTTACCGTTGTAGATAATACTAAATACATAAAATGACCATGGAATTATATTTATTTTTAGAATTTTGTAGATGTGGTATCAAATCGGGGAAGCCTGGGTTGGGGCAAATTATTTTTTGATCAGGTTCTGGTTCACTTCAGTCCATCTATAAGGACTTGTTAGAATCACATGATTACAGGATAATAAGTTAAATGTGTTATTTTCCTTTAATCAATATGGCGTTCACCCAAAAATATACACATTACTTGGGATTTTAATTTTGTAAATATAACTTTGTGTTTAGTGTAACAATGAAATAGAATGACAATATACAATTAATCATTTAATTATTTAAATAAAATTAAAATCAGTTAAATATATAGTTATACATGAAACCACTTCAAATAAAATTATTAGTTTTAACTAATTAATAGAAGTATTTAATAATTAGTTTTATAGAAGACTAGTCTACGTGCTTTACTTTTATACTCATTTTATTTAAAGATATTGGGTTTTATTCTTGATTGATGGTGTTTCCTTTGAAAGAAAACGGGATTGAATCTTACAATCACAAAATCTATTGTAACATCACTTAGTTTAAAGAAATTTGTATAAATATTGTATCCAAATATTACATTTATTGGAGTATAAGTTACTTATTACAAATTATATAATTCATATAAGTGTGTAATGGAGAGTTTCAGCATTAATAACTTTGAAAGGCATGTTTCTAGAAATGTAACTACCGCTGCATTTGTATCAAATTGGTTCACATAATCCGATTAGTATTTAAGCGTAATTTGAAAACACTTCACTCGACTTTGTCAAACTCAAATTAAAATTTAAAACTTAATTGGTCATGATTCATTTTCACCGACAATAGGTATCGGCCAGTGATGAGAAATATGTAAACTTCAGCGCCCCATTTCACTGTGCAAACTTGGAGAATATTGAATATCCTTTCTGGGGAACGAGTAGGCCAGAGCATTGTGGGCACCCGGGTTATGAGTTGGACTGCCAAGGCGTGATCGCAGAGATTACAATCATGGGGAGAACCTACGTAGTGCTTGACATCAATAACGCTTCCCGGATTCTCACAGTTGTTATATAAGATTAGTGGAATGACATTTGTCCCTCAAACGCTTCTTTAATTATACTTCCGATACATAAAATATAACGCTGTATTATCACTGCCCTCCTTTTGTGAAAGACATTTCGGTCGCGCTGCTTCCCTTTAATTGCAGACACCAATGATTATTATTTCATAGAGCAAACGACATTTTCCCACCCAAGGTTTCGTGAATCGACTAGTTTCCACCCTTGATTTTATAAATTCCATTTCCCACCCTTAAATTGACAAAAATCATTTAATATGGCAGTTGAAGGGTAAAATAGTCATTTGAACTACATTAAATCCGAAATGAAAATAAAAATTTCAAATAAACCTCCACGTCTCAAATTTCTCTACAAGCACCGTCCCCATCTCAAATTTCTTTCAGTTTCTCTCTTATAACCTTCATTGCTTTCCCGTCACCTTCCTCTATTTCTTCTCTTCTTATTCTTCTTCTTCCTTTCTTTTTTCTTCTCCCCTCACCTTCCTCTATTTCTTCTCTTCTTATTCTTCTTCTTCCTTTCTTTTTTCTTCTCCCCTCCTTGCTTCCTTTCTTCTCTCCTTCTCATAAAATCACTGTTACTCTTGACATCAATGCGAAATTGCCAATCACAAAAGCTAGAATAGGAACAAAACATTATCAACATTGACCCAAATATCAACATCAGTCAAAAGCGTGACAAATCCCTAGCACATACCCATAATTTCATCTCAATGAAACCATCAATCACATTAAAATGAGGTAATATAATGTTTCAAAGGAAGAACCATTTTTGGAGAAACCACAAATATTAATCATCCATATCAAAGCCCAAACAACACAAAATTCATATTTTTGAGAACCCACCTTAACAATCCAGTCAACCGTCTCTTTTCTAGGCACCAAATCCAAATCAGGGCGCCGCGATTTGGCCAAAATTCAGCAGCGACGAGGCCCTCATGCGGTGACCCAAACCCATGCTAGGGCCAAGCAACCATGAAGAGAAGGAGAGAAGAAAGAAAGGAAAGAAGAGAAGAAAGAAAGGAAAGAGGAGGAGAAAAGAAGGAGTTGACTGGAAAGAAATGAAGGCTCAGTAGAGAGAGAAAAAGATGCGAGGAAGGAGAGTAGAAAAGAAAAAAAAATAAAAATAGAGTACTACATAATTTAGAGGTGGGCATTTGGGACCGGATCCAAAACCCAGTCCAAAAACCTGGTCTTAAGATCGATCCTTGAGAGGATTGGTTTTAAGAAGCCTAGTCCCAAAACAGGATCAGGCCTAAGGAGGAGGACCCTGTCCTTCCATTGGACCCTCCTCTAAGGCCCGGCCTTGGATTGGTCACAACCTAGGCTCAAATTTTTTAAATATTTTTGTTTAGTCCTTTATACAATTATTAAAATCTCTTATAAATTTGAAATAAACCTAAATTATAGGGATTAAAAAGAAATTTTACAAAATTATAAAAAATTATAAATTTTACCCATGAAAAACACTAAAAACTTTCTACAAAATTTCATTTTGCCCCTAAATATAAAAACGATCAGGGGGGAAAATAAAATTTTTTAGGCCCATAGGACCGGTCCTAGAGACCCGTCCGGGTCCTAAAATTGCTCATGGGCCTGGGACTAGTCCCAAGCCCATGAGCGACTGGTCCTATTTGGGACTAGTCCTAAACAGACCCAAACTCGGGCCTGCTTGGAACTGGTTCTTAACCAGTTTTACTATATACAATATTTTTATATAACATTTTTCATACAATATTATGTGACAAAATATGATTGATTGATTTTAAATTAAAATTAGTTTTTTATTCAATCATCTTTTATCACATAATATTATATAAAACATGTTGTATAAGAATATTGTATATGTAGTATTATTAAAAATAAAAATGTTGGCGAAAAAGAAAGTTTATCTTTAGTGGATTGGTGGTTAAAAAAAGTAATTTATTAATTTATTTTAAAGGAAGTTTGGTAATATCAATTTCTATATTCCATTAGAGTTAAAAAATTAGTAATGGTGTTGATATAAGGGTGTGAATATAAAATTTAGGAAAACAGGGTTTGAGAACTTGTCATTCCGCTTGACCTTGGGTGAGAACATGTTCTTTGCTCTTGTTTCATAAGGGGCATCGATAGTGCAATAGTAAAATCTTATCTACCATTAGCAATTACTTCGAAACTTGTGGTACCAACGTTACTATTCCGGTGAGACAGTCAGCATTTATGTTCTTGGAGGGACCTCCAGCTTCGGCAAATGTGGGTGAAGCTCTTAAAGAGGGTTTTGATTTGCAATGGTACGCAAACAAAACCTACTTATGTGACAAATGTAAAGACTCAGGTGGACTCTGTGGATGTGACATTGACGCTGATGAATTCACTTGTTATTGTCCTGATAAGCCTTATTGCTTGACTTTGACTAATTGGTTTCCATTGATTATGACACTGGACTGTTCTAACCACTGTCAAGAAATGGCCAATGAAATACCGAAATAGGATTTGGCACAACACGTTATGCGGTGCATGAAACGAAGACAAATAAAATAATCAACCTTGTAGGGTCCAGTTGAATATAATTTTTAGAAATTTGAACGAATTCTAGCGACGAATATTTGAGTCTTTGTGTGTTTGGTGTGACGGTGGATAGTCTTTATTCTCTGCATATAAGCCTGTTACAGTAAAAGCTTGGAAATTGTTGTCTAGTGGGGGCAACCTCAAACAATATATATTATCAAGACTAGTCTCCTTATGCTTTTAGCAGTTTGGTCTTGAATATTAACGTGTGTTGATTAATACTCTAAGTCTAGGTTAATTAATACGACTTTAATTTGTGTTTTGCTTTTTCTTTCAACATGACTTATTTAGTCCGTGTTACAAATATTACGTTGTTTTTTTTTTAATCTAAAATAACGACTAAAGGACTAGAGGAGGAAACTTCAACCCAATTGTGAAACATGCAATGGTCAAGACTATATACGTTCTCATTACTTTTTTCATGAACAATTTTTAATTTCCACCACTACTGTATTTCACCCTGCACACATTGTACCATTAAACATGTTTTGTATCCTGCCATCAATATTTTTTTGGCCTCTGATACTCTGTTAACACTAAACTGGACTTGATGTATACAAGTCCATTATTATTGCATCAAAATATTATGGTTTGGATATAGAATTCAGTGAGATACAATTTATTATACAATGTGTCTTGGGTCGTTGATAAGTTGGTTATATTTATTTTCGAAGGAAACTCGTATCGAAGTTGGACTAGTCTCTGCAAACCAAACGTAAACATGGTTGGAACAAATTGAAGTACGTGAAGATAAAGTCCTCAAGTCAAATATACACCCAAAAATTCAAAGACTTTCTATTGCTTTCCTTTATCTTCCAAAGATGTGATGTAACTCTTAGTTTCTTCTATATTTTCTTGGCATCAATGAATTCAGTTCCCTCATGATTCATTCTCCCAAGGCCTTACTCCTACCAGAAATGACGAGTTTCCAACTTTTCTCCCCGTCGCCTTTTCTTTGTGCTCTAGGCTTTTTAACCCTGGTTCTTGTCAAT